CTCTGTGTCTCTCCCCATATACAATGTATACACACATACTGGCAATGCAAAAGGGCATAATTGATTGTATAGGGTCCCACAGAAAGTTGGGGGTGGAAGAAGGGTGGTATCATGGGCACTGACAGAGGGTTTAGCCTTGTTAAAGAGTAGGGGTTACACCCTATTACTCTACGACTAGAAGGAAGAACTAGAAAATGGATGATGATATTGAGAAATGTTGAGGAGAAGCAGAGCTGTGTGTATATACACATACATATGTATATGTATATATACACATACACAGACCTATTTGTATTTATAGACATATATAGTACACATATCATGTATGATCATACTTATACATATACACATGCATGTGTATGTGCATTTACATATGCATATATACATATATACACATAGTATCTATATACATGTATCACTCAAATTCTCCATTTTTAAAACTTCTACCTCTAGAGCTAGCCACAGTTTCAGATCACCTTACCTCCCCTCTCTAAATGGACACATTTACCAAGAATGACCACCAAAATATATGCATTTATTATTAAGTGCCTTTTGCAAACATACCTTGACATCTAATACTCATGACTAAAAAGTTTCTTATGTAGTTCGATATAAGGCCCAACAAAACACTTCCTCAGGTGGGCTGAAAATCTTCCCCCACCTCAACCCCTTGGAGTATCTCCTGAAATAAAAGCAAAGATAGATCTCCAAAAGCTTCTATTAAAATGCATATAGTCTCATCACTGGACCTTTGGCTTCCCTGAAATGAGTGATACCATTCAGCTCTAATTCTCCTCTCCAACACTTCTCAACATCACTACCCATTTCCTATTTCTTCCTTCTGGTTACAGAGGGAGAGATATCCTCCTTAACAAGGCTAAACCCTCTATCAGTACCAGCACCCTTGATCCCATTCTTTCTCCACTCCTACAATACCCTCCCCTTCCCATAACCTTCTACAAGAGATACAATCAATCATTTCCTATCTCCTATGCATTGTGAGGGAATTCATCTTTCACCCATCACAATTGCCAATCTTTCCTTTTTCCCTGGTACCTTCCTATCTACCTACAAAAATGCTTAGTTCTCCAAAATCCTAGAAATTTTCCCTTGACATCTCTGAACCATCTCTTTGTATCTAACGCCACTACTTCCCTAACCCCTCATTTTCAGTTCAACCTCTTGCAATACGGTTTCTGCCCCTGCCATTCCAATGAAATTGTCTCTCCATAATTACCAGTGACCTTTCCATCATCAAATCACTTCTCCCCATCCTCTTGACTATCATATACAACTGAATATTCTTTTCCCACTTTGGCTTCAGAAACCACATGTACCAGATTTCCCTCCTAACCACTCTTTCTATGCCTCTGTTGCTTCCTCCTCATCCTTTTTACCTTTTTCCTTTATGTGGTTCCCCCCAACCCCGAGTGTCTGTTTTTGGTTGTCTTCTCTAGCTATTTCTCTCTGTCTCTCTGTCTCTGTCTCTCTCATCTTCTCTATTCCAAGGCCTTCAATTTGTTCATCATCACCTTGAATACTGTAGAAAACCACAAGAGCCAGGCAGATGAGTTTTAGTCGGGAATGGAGAAAGAAGAGTGCATGGTATTCATAGGCTGGGTGGCTGGGAGACACGAGACATCGTTGGTCAGGATGGGGATTGGTCCCACATATATGCCTTGGATGTCTAATAGGGACATCACCCAGAGCCTGCAACTGCTCAGTGAGGCAGAGTAGGATAAAGATGACTCCACCAGCTATTTCCTTGTGAGGATCTTCATGGTATTTGTAGAAAGAATGCTGGATTTAGAGTCAGATTCTGAATCTTGGATGTGATGCTTACTATCTGTGTGACTTTGAGAAGTAATTTTACCTCCTTGGGACTCATTTTCTTCAACTGCAAACTGAAGGGTTTCAACAAGATGAAGGTCCCTTTCAGCTCTAAAGCTATATTTAACCACCAGGTGATATTGATTGCCACTATCAGGATCAGAAGCTGTGTTTGACCCATGTTTACCCTTGAGGTTTGTCCACGTCCTTGGGGAAAAAGTGCTGAGCACACTCTCTTCTATGGCTTGTAGACAATGACCTTCTATCCTTCAGCTCCACCTCTCTCTATAGGATGGCATCCAGTCATATGACTTAACTTTGAGCCCCTACTCATTTGCAAAACATTGCCACCTTTCTTTATTTGCTTCATTTCAGTGAGGGCTAGTTATGCAACTTTGGTAGAATGGACTTGGCTCTCCACTAAAACACACAAATAATTGGATATTGTATAGTGTTTACCCTTAGCAAGAACTGAGCAGTAAATAAATAGCAATAAATAAAAAGGAAACAATGTGGAATAATAAAATGAAACTGAAGAAAATTGATGACCTTAGGATCTAAGTGGACTAGTTGATCCTCTGGGTGCTTTTTGTTATCATCTGCAAATATAGATAAGATGGGCAGCATCCTTAAGCAACAAGCTTTCCACAAATATAACTCAGCCTAGAACATAGAACTCAGACCCGGATATCTTGTCTAAAGTAAAGAGCTACAAACTATTCTTGTCTCAGCTAATCCATCACAGAACAGGGTAAATGGATTCAGTGTTGGGCCCCAGTTTTTGTGTTGTTGTTTTTTAGTTGTTTTTGCTTTGTTTTGTTTCAGTTATGCCCAACTCTTCATGACCCCTTTTGGGGTTTTCTTGGCAAAGATACTGGAGTTCATTTGCCATTTCCTTCTTTCATTTTACAGATAAGTAAACTGAAGTCAACAGGGCTACGTGACTTGCCTAGAGCCACACAGCTAGTTGTGTCTGAGGACAGATTTTAAATCAGGAAGACAAGTCTTTCTTACAGAGTGCCCAGGCTTGGCCTCTATCCACTGCACCACCTAGCTGCCTTGGGCACTAGTTTTCTACTGCAACTGTCACCATTATCTCTAACCTTAAGCAAAGTACTCTTTGCTTCAGCCATCCTCATTTCCTATTGTCATCCCCAATCAAATCCATATCAGGGTAGGGGACAGGCAAAAAGAGTAGGAAGCAGGCTGCATGTGATTTTATGATCCCTTGCTTTTATACCAATACCAATTGTTGTTGTTTGGTGATTTTCAGTCATGTCTGACTCTTTGTGACACCTTTTAGGGTATTCCTGGCAAAGATACTGGAGTGGCTTACCAGTGACTTGTCCAGGGTCACACAGTTAATAAGGTGAGGCTGGATTTGAACCCAGGTCTTCCTGACTCCAGGCTCAGTGTTCTATTCTCTGTGCCACCTAGCTGCCCCTATATGAAATCAGCCTATAAATGGCCCCCTTTTTTAGACTGTTAGCTCCTTTAAAGTATGGAATGTGTTTTACCTTTCTTTGTGTCCTCAATGGTTAGCATAGTACCTGACACATAGTAGGACTCAATAAATACTTGCTGACTTACTGACTTAATACCCTTAAAAAAGTACTTCCATACTCAGACTTCAGGGAGGATGCAGCCCTTTCATGATTTATTTTCTCTCCTTCAAGACTTCCCTTGATAAACTGACCTCATAGGACTTAAAGCTTAAAGAACATCTACTACAACTCCCTCTTTTTATAGACGAAGCCCAAAATAGGCCCAAAACTGCTGAAGTGATTTACCAAGAACCAGGGATACTAAGAGTAGGGCCTAGATATGTGAACCCTATTCTGACTCCAAACCCAATGCTCTTTCCACTACAGCACTTACAAATACAGAAAACCGGCTTAAAAGGTTAAGGTTGAAGTTTAAACAAGGAATTGAAGATGAAATTTTAATTGCAGTTCCTGTGCCCTTTTTTGAACATAGCTTTAAGCAAAAGCTTACTTCTATTTGCATCACTGTGATTGTTTCTAAGACACATAGAATTACACCTTCCACAGATACTGGATGGACACCTAAGTGTTCCTGAAGGGATTACTTACTCTCCAGTGACACCAAATAAAAACACTTTCATAGGTTTCTATACCACTATGGCACGGAGAACACATCTGGGCTGTCCTGGATCTCCAAGGCTGTTTGCAAACGAAGCACAGATCAGCCAGCCAGCTGGAAACAGGAGGAGTCCCGTCAGCTCCAAAGAGGGTATTCCACAACTTTAGGCCGGAACCAATAAATACCAGGGACGCAACTGAAAATCGGGCAGAGTCCTCGAGTTCCAGGCAACCCTCCTCACCTCACCCCACGCCAAACACGTGTGTAGTTTTAAAAGCTCTCTTCGCCTCCCCCCAGTTTTAATTAAAGTGGAACCACATAAGGCATCTCCATTAGCCTTCCTCAGAAAAGCCACCATAGAATGCCTGCCTGGGGAGGGCTATAGCCAATGGGGGGGGGGGGTAGGGGGTCTGTCCCTTTCCATCTTGATTCCCGTCCAGAATCCCAGCTCTTGCCCTTCTGCCTGGTTTGGGCAACGTGGGTCTATGCTCGGCAGGGGAAAGTGGATAGAGACGGACACTGGGCGAGGAGCAAGAGGAAGCAATTGCTAAAGAGACCCGAATCCCTCTTTCCCCGGCCCAATATCTTCTCCCCTACTCCGCCCCCGGAAGTGTTGCGGACCCTGGGGAACCAAATGGAGATTAGGGCTAGCTTCGCTGAGGTTGAAGAGAAGCAGTCACAAGTTTCCGCTTGGCCTCCCACGTCAACAAGAGTTTGAATGAAAATCTGGCTCCCCGAAGCCTGAGAGTGCCCAAGAGCGCAGCCTGGGGAGGCCAGAGAGAGAACTGAGAACCTTTCCCCGGGACCGCTAGGAACTGAGAGCCGCAAGATGCAAGCACCGCTCCTGGCCAAGGCTAAGGGGCTGGCTCTCCGGCGCCTCGCTCCTTCCTTTGGGGCGCCGGACTTTTCCATGCAGAAAAAGTCCCTCGGTTCTCCCTCCCGTGCGCTTACTCTAGCAAAACGTCCGCACCCGCAGCTCCTTGTACCCCTGCAGAGCCGGGACCTAGGGACTGCTCACGGCGTCCCTGCTCCGGAGCTCCCTGGCTGCCCCGCCTCCCTGCTCCTACCTGGGAAGCCGAGGCTGAGCCAGGCGTGGAGGGGCAGCAGCAGTAGCGCTAGCCGGACCGAGGAGCTGCCCATAGTGCACGGCCAGCTCTCCTTCCCTCCCGATGCCTTGGGTTCCACCAGGGGGGCTGGAGGAGCAAAGAGAAGAAGAAGGGAAAAGGGGGGGGGGGTAGCAGCAGACGTGGGTCTGAGCTGGAAAACTCCTCCTCTCGACTCCCTTTCACCTCCCTCCCTTCCTCCTCCTACTCCTCTAAAGGCAAAGAAGTTCAAGGTTCCTGCATCCCCCTCTGCTGCCTCTTTCCTCCTCCTCCTTAGGCTACGCTGCTTTCTCAGAAGACCTTCCTGACGCCGCTGCTGTCCCAGCCAAGTTGGTCTTCCTCCCTCCTCTACTCCCCCCCCATCCCCCAACACACATCCTAAATGCTGGATTTGGGGAATCCTCTCAGCAGCCTGAGCCTTGACAACTTAGGTGCCCCCGGAAGGGTAGGGCTTTTGAGCTACTTTTTCACAGCTATTGAATCCAATGTTAAAGTTTTTGGCGGATTTTAAAAGCCCACCGAGCTTTGTCCGCCTAGTGATCTTAAACATCGTACCTTGTATCGAAATTACTTGTTTATATGTTTTATCTCCCTAGACTATAACCTTAATGAGGGCCTAACTGGTCTTACCACTACAGGAAATGCTGGTAAAAGCTTAACAATAGGCTCCCTGGGAGGAAAAATGTATGCAGTGCACATTTTTAAATTTTAATCTGCATTATTAACACTTCTTAAGTCTAAACAATCAACAAAACAAATAAACCAAGCTCTGCTTTGTAGAGTTTGCAGATTTCCGAGGTGTAAATGCTTATATTGAATTTTAACAAGCTTTTGAACCGACTTCGGCACATCCCTGCTAGTTACCCTTACTATCAGTCAAAGTATTCAATCATCGCGTAATCAGTCAATAAGCTTTTCTTAAGCCCTCACTCTTACTGTGAGCCAGATACTGCTAAGACACATCGACAAACAATAACCCCCACCACCCAACCCCCTCACCCCAACAATTTCTGCTCCCAAGGAGCTTAGGGTCAGTTGGGGCAGTCTTTTTAAGTCTTTCTATGTGGATACAGAACATAATAAGAATAAATAATAATATAAGGTTTGTGGCACAGATAAATAATTTGCCCAAACTCACACAGCCAGGAGGGGGCAAAACTACGACTCAGTTTCTTATTTGTAAAATGGGAACAATAATATTTGTTCTACCTACCTCTTAGGCATGTTGTGAGACAAATATTTTTGTAAACCCGAAAGAATCCTTTTTATTACTTCACTAAGCCTCATTGTATGTGGATATGGCCTTCCAAGGCTAGCCAGTGTGAAAATGGGCCCAGGAGGCCCCCTGACACAAAGGCCCCTTCCCTAGGCTCAAATAAAGCCTGATTCATGGGAGTAGGACAGACTGGCCCCAAAAAGGGGATTAGGCTTTTCTCTGTCTCTCTGGCTTATCACGTCTCCATTCCAGAGTAAAATGGAAGGGTATGGCATATAGAGGGTTTCCCCAAAATGTGAGTAACAAGACCCCTTCTAGAAAAGGTACTCAATGTAAGATACGAATGTTGGGTAAACCCATTTACTCCAGCACGAAAAGTGTTTAAAACACAAATGACTCCTAAATATGTTTTAGCAAATACAAAACCAAAAAATTCTCACATAACCCATCACAGTCCCAGTGAAGGTAAAGACAATTTTGTGGGATGTTGAGTAGCTGTGGGACACTTTCACCCCTGGTCTGTACTGTCCAAGCAACTCACTAGGTCCTTATCTCTGGGCATGCAAAATATGACTTTCCTTCTTCATCTTCTTCTCCAAGAAACTTTGTACTATTAAGGACATCTCCCTTCCCACGCTCTCTGGTTACTCCTTCAAACTTACACCCTCATAGGAATATTTTATACTACCTTTTTGGTGGATTTTTTGCTTGTATTTCTTTTTTAAGTAAATCATTGCTCTCTTACTCTGAAAGACTTTTCAGACATGGAGGCAGTTGTGATGAAGTTAAAAAAAAAAGTGGATTTAAAATCAAAAGGCCTGGGTTCAGGTCTGACTATTGCATCCTAGCTATGTGACTATGGGCACTCATTTCATTCCCTCAACATCTGCTAGCACCTTTTTTTTTTTTTTTTTTTTGCAGCACAGATAAGAAACTACCATCAGATTAATCTTGTTAAAACACCTGTCCCCAGTACATGGAGACATGAGCCTAGAGCAGGGGTGGGGAATCTGCCTCAAGGTGACATGTGGCCTTCTATGTCCTCTGTCCTAGCGTGCCGCCTTTTGACTGAGTCCAAATTTAACAGAACAAATCCTTTTATTAAGGGCATTTGCTCTGTGAAGTTTGGATTCAGTCAAAGGGCCCGAACTTGAGGACCTAGAGATCACATGTGGCCTTGAGGCCACAGGTTCCCCACCCCTGGTAGAGTGTGATTCATTCTGCAATTTGTCTTGGCTTCAGGAACTGGAGATGTCTAGCCTGAACAAGTGATTTCTAGGGCACCTAATAGCCTCCAATTAGTTCAAGGGCTATCACCTGGAAGAGAAATGAGACTTGTTCTGCTCAGCCCCAGGAGACACAATTAGGGAAAAGAGGCCGGGGTGACAATGAGGGAAATTTAGGCTTGACTAAGTAAGGGGTAGCAATGTCTTAACATTAGAGCTATTCAAAAGTGAAATGGGCTGACTTAGTAGGTCATGGGTTTTGACCTTTGTGGGGAGGGGTTGCTTTAACCAATGACCCAAAAAATACTCCTAGGTTATGTTGTAAAGGGAATTGCTTTTATGGTATGGGATAGATAAAATGGTCTCTGAAGCTCTGTTTAATTCTGAGATTCTAAGATTCCGTGCTCCTTTGAGCAAGAGTGAAACAAATTAGCTATAGTAGCAGGTACTGGCTGGAGGGGTCAAATGAGAAACACTGTATAGTCAAGTCAAGTCCACAAACATTTATTAAGTACTTACTATATGACTGGCACTGTGTAAATATACTAAGAATTATCCTAAAGATAGGGTGCTATTTATAGATGAGGGTTTTACTATTGATTCCATTACATTGTAAACTCTTTGAGGGCAGGGATTGTCTTTTGCCTCTTTTTGTATCTCCAGCTCTTGGCACATTGCCTGCCACATAGTAGGTGCTGAATAAATGTTTATTGATTAATGACCCACCATCAGTTGGATTTTCCCAGAGCTCATGAAGCAGTGGCTGAACCAGCCCCCAGCTGTGACTAATGGCAAATAGCCAGGTAACGGATGGTCTACGGGGATGGAAGAAAGCAGAGCTGGGGAGTAGACTATTCACTTTAGTCAGCTTTAGGGATGAGTAAAATAGCCAGGGAGTCAGCTAGGTGGCTCTGTGGATAGAGCACTGGGTCTGGAGTCAGGAAGACCTGAGTTCAAATATGGCCTCAGACATTTACTAGCTGTATGACCCTGGACAAGTCACTTAACCCTGTTTGCCTTAATCCACTGGAGAAGGAAATAAACCACTCCAGTATCTTTACCTAGAAAACTCCAAAAAAAAGTTGGACATGACTGAACAACAAGAGTGGCCACACAACCTGGAGCTGAATAAGGGGCCCAGCCTCTAGAAGTGTTCAGTGAACCTCCTTCTCATCAGTCCCATCTCCATACCCCCCCCCAAATCACTTGCCTGTGATATCAGAGCTAGTAGTGGGCAGCTAGGTGGCAAAATGGATAGAGTGCCAAGTCTGGAATCAGGAAGACTTATCTTTCTGGGTTCAAGCAGCCTCAGGCTCTTACTAGCTGTATGACCCTGGGCAAGTCACTTAACCCTGTTTGCCTCAGTTTCCTCACCTGTAAAATGAGCTGGAGAAGGAAATGGCAAACCACTTCAGTATCTTTGCCAAGAAAATCCCAGATGGGAGGGGAGAGGAATGTACCTAGAAATGAAGGTGATGTAAAAATAAAAGCTATCAATACTATTTTTAAAAAAGGTAAAAGACAAAAAAAGAGAGCTTATGGGAATTATAATAATGAAAGCTGGTGAGGAATGAATTGAAAATTGTCATATTAATTGATATGATATATATGTTATGAATATACTAATAACTTTGTTTTCTCAAGAGCTGCCTTTTCCATCTTGTGCATCAGACTCACAATGCAACTTGAACTGATCCATCAAACCTTGCCCAGTCACTGGCATCCTTCTACCTTCAAACCTGAAGTGAATTAAATCAAAGACTGTAGAACCTGTTCCCATCACAGAACTCTGGTTTTGTACCTTAGGGGAGGTGGTCAGAACCCCCAAAAACTTGACTCCAAAATTATTGTATTGTGGGACTTGTGGATTTCTCGTGGGAAACCACCAAATGATTGTTTGTAATCCACCTTCCCCCCTCCTTCTCCAGTTGTGATTTAAGTATATAACTTATGCTTTTAATTCAGTGAAGAGAACATTCCTCACTCTGAAACTGGTTAATTAAACTACTTGTTTACTGGAACTCTCATCTCTCGGCCTGCTTTGTTCAGATCAAGCATTCTCAGATTAGAGACTGGCTCAGTAAAAATCCTGTTAACACGGCACTTACAGAATAGTTTACAAAATGCTTTACAGGTGTAACATAGACTGAGCTCTTTGAGATCAGATACTGTCTTTTGACTTTCTTTGTAACTCCAGCATTTGGCAGAGTGCCTGGAACTTAGTAGGTACTTAATAAATGTTTACTGACCTAGAGCAGCTGTAGACATTCCCTGATTACTTCCTGTCAGTCAGAAGGGACTTTGGTCTTGCCTGGATTACTACACTAGATTAGTGGTGGGTCTGCCTGCCTCTACTCTCTTTCCCACTCCAATTCATTCACTATTCAGCCACTGAAGTGATTCTCCTAAAGTCCAGGTCTAATCATGTCACCCTGCTATAAACTTGTCAACAAACTTCAGTGGTTCCCTATCACCTCCAGAATCAAATATTAAATGTTCTATTCGGCATTCAAAATCCTTCATAACCTAGGTTCTCCACTTCCCCCCAACCTTTCTAGTCTTCTTATACCTTACTCCCTGACCTACATTCTTCCATCCAGTGACACCGGCCTCTTGACTGTTCTACAAACAATACATTCCATCTCTTGGCTTCTGGCATTTTCTCTGGTTGGTCCCAATGCCTGGAATGCTCTCCCCTCTCTGCTCCCCACTACTGACCTCCCTGGCTTCCTTTAAGTCCCACTAAAACCTTGCCTTCTAC